GACATGTTCCAGTTTTTAGTTTACTACATCGCCCTACAACCTATAGCCATTTTTGTTTTGTTATATTTTCTTTTAAACACCATTTTCTTGTCTGTTAATCTCAGTTTGTACGCATCCTTTATGATTGTCTATTGTTGTCATCACTTTGTTAAAACCAGGTCTCTCTTGTAAACGAGTCCCCGAGGCTCAGTGGGATTAACTTATAGAAATAAAGGTTGAATGAAAAGATTGACTTCGTTTAAAACTCTGACGTTAATGAATCCTGGATAATTATTTATTGTGTTTATGTTACAGTTCTTTCCTTTAGGCCTGTTTAGGATAAATATTAGATTTTTAATAATGTGCAGAGTTGGAGAAAATATTCACGGCTGGTCTTGTGGTGGATTTAACATCTGGACTCTGACTGGTCCAGAAGTTTTTACTCCTCGTGTGTCGGGGAGCTGGAGCTGCGTGAAACGGAGCGACTCGCTGCACCAGAACAAAATCAGATTTTTAAACAAGAGTCATTTGTTAAATGTTGAAAAATATCCGTTGTGTTGTTTTAATCCTCGTTTCAGTAAAACTTGTTGGATTAAACGGCAGAGCTCTGGCTCGGGCCTCGGAGCGCGACAGTTGTTGGATCAACGTGGTCAGAGACACAAACTGAAGTTTGTCGGAACGGAGCAGAGTTTGAGCGAGCGCCTTCCAACTGCTCCTTTTCTCACAAACTTGAAACTGATTTTCTTGGCTTTCCTTTGCGAGGCTTAATATTTAATTTGTTTTTGGGTTTTTTTACACGCAACAATTTTAATGTTTCATGGTAAGCGAGACAGACGGACGCATTAGAGTCGATTTTGTTTGATCGCATTAAATGAGCTTTGATGAGCCGATTCGCTTCCGAGTCAATAATTATTTTAAAGATTTGTTGTGCTGTTGATCTAAACGTTCTTTGATGCGCGTTGCACGGATGATTTCAGAACAGTCCGATGCTCTCTCATCGTTCGGTGTTCGACACGCAGGAAGTGATCGATTCCTGCTGATCGTCTCAAAATGTTCAAAGAATCAGTTCATGGAGAAGCTGAACGATTCTTTACAAAACGAGTCTCGTTGAAGGAACTCGTGTGCTGAAGAGGGAGCCGACGTTCTCTGGACCGGTCTGCGTTCCTGCCCTCACCTGTGGGCTCAAACCGAGTAGAGACTGAAAGAACCAGATGGTGGATCCACCAGGTCCAAATGAGTTCTCTCCTTCAGAGACAGGGTGAGTTCAGTTCTCCAGGAGAGACTCCGAGTAGAACCGCTGCTCCTCCACGTCCAGAGGAGTCAGCTGAGGAGGTATCTGGTGAGGATGGACTCTGACACGCTGGGCGGGGGGGCGTCCTCTCAGAAGACTGGAAGAGGTGGTTGAACCTCCCTGCTCAAGTTGCTGCCCCCAGACCTGGACTGGTTGATGGGTTAATTGATTAAGTGATGCGCTGACTGATTGATTGATGGATGGGTTGATTGAGGCAACTGTGGCTGAGTGGTTAGAGCAGTCGTCCTCCAGTGGGAGAGTTGGGCGTTCGATTCCACCAGCAGTCACATGTTGAAGTGCCCCTGGGCAAGACACTGAACCCCGACTGCCTGTGACGTGTGTCCCATCGGTTCATGAATGTGATCATTAGTCTTTGTACAGATCTAGAGTGCTGTATGAACGGTTTTAAATTTTCATCTAATGTGCTTCATTAGTGCTTACCTGTTATGCAGATGACTCTCAACTTCTACCAAACCAGATTCTGAGTTTAGCACAGTATTTTTTTTATTTTTAGACGAATGGGTGGATCTGAAGAAATCAGAATCAATCGATAAATCATGAGGACAACCCAGTTTTATTTAAATTATTTCTTGACTCAGAGAGCCTTTAATCTGTCAGCAACACATGCAGCTTCCAATCTGTTTTGGCCCGTGTGTGTTAGCAAAATATCTCAGGAACCACTGAATTAGATGGAACGGAAACCCAGAAGGAATCTTTAGATGTAAATCTAGAACAGATTAACTGTTGGTTTATTTCAAGATGGCTGCTTCAGCTAATCAATACAAAAAAAACAAACGTTTAAATTCAGTGAAAACGACAAACTGAGCTCAAATCTGACACATTTACACCAAACAGTAACTCACTGGAGAGAAACATCAGAACCGCCGGAGGTCGAGCCTTTTGTCCAACGTTCGATCGAAACGGCTCCGTCACTTTTCATCCTCCGAAGATTTTCATCCAAAACTCCGGCAAGGGACATTTGAGCTTTAATTTTCATTCACACTTTGTGTTTTACTCTCATTTTATTTATGTTTTCATCTTCTGTTCTCGCAGCTTTGACTTGAAGGAAAAACTAAGTCAGAAATTTGAAAGAAAAATCTAAATTCTCTCAGAATTTACAGAATATGTAACAATAAGACGGCACATTGTTCTACTTTTAAACACCCCTTGTTATTGTGAAAGTCATATAAATATGTGTGTATATATATATATGTAAATATTTTTTTTCCTGTTAAAATAAACTTCATACTTTAATCAGATAATAAACATGCTGCTGCTCCGATGGTTCGTGTTTTTTTAAAGCCATAAAATTACGAGGATAAAGTCCTAGTATTATGAGAATAAAGTCAAATAAAGTATTTTTATTACGAGAATAGTGTACAACTTTTTTTATTTGCAGCTCTCGTTTATTATTTTTTCTATGAGTCAGATCCATGACGCAACCTGTCAATCAATCCAGTAGGCGTGTCAGCAAATGACCAATCCGAAGCAAAATGCTCCTTACCTGCAGAGCTGCGCTGCAGCCCATCAGAGTGTACCACCTGACTGTAAGCAGGTTCAAAGTCCTGATACTGATAATAATCTGATGAGCTAACAGATTAACTATCTCCTTATTTGTAAAACTAATACAAAGTATAACTTAACAAGATGCTCAACATTCTTCCTTTTACCACAATTAAAATGGTAAATTCTACTTTATCGTGTCAAAGTTCGGATAATATTACGACTCATTTAGCTTCGGATCGGTCATTTGCTGACACGCCTACTGCATTGATTGACGCGTTGTGGATCCAACTCGTGAAAAAAAAAAATATACGAGAGCTGCAGGAAAAAAACGTCTCGTACGACTTTATTCTCGTAATATTATGGCTTAATTTTTTTTTTTCAATGTAAATTTTTTTTCTTAGCATGGACCTAAAACTCCGTCATAATTGACAGAAATGACCCAAACCCATTTTTTTTTTTTTTTTTGCTGCACCGGTTCAGAACCTCGAAACAGACGGTAAAAAGCGTGATTCTAACGAGACCTGATGGGTCAGTGTGCAGGTTTCTGCACGCACCTGAGCCGGCGTATCGTCGCAGCGTGAACAGGTGAACTAAGCAGAAGGTGTTTTTATTTTATTTTATATAAATAAATGCAGGAGCTGCTTTTTGGGGGCGCTGAAAACCTCCGAGGGGTTTTGGTGTTTGATGCCTCTGGTGCCGACTTCACAGGGGGAGAGGATACACACTGTCCACTCTTCTGTTCACACACACACACACACACACACACACACACACACACACACACACACACACGCACACACACACACGCACACACACACACACACACATGCACTATAATCACATTCACTGTCAGGCCCTATAAATCTGTAAAGGCCCAATTAAAGATGGCCTTCAGCGCACACACGTGTTAAAAACAGAAATTCTGTTTGTTTTTTGGACCTTCTTTATTTGACCCAACAGACTGAAGTGGAAAACAAACATTAAAATGTATAAAAACCAGAGATAAAAACATGTTTTAGGCGTTTCGTGACGACACACGTCGTGCAACTCGTGTGACTCGAACCTGGGATTTAAGGTGCTACATTTATTTTAAACGTGATAAATTAAAGGAACGTTAAAGCTGAAAAATGCTGCAGATGTTCTTACATAAAGAAACGTGAACACTTAAAATAAAAATGCTGTTTTCAAGTTAGATTTAAAAAAAAAAAAAGACAGATTTGATCAGATTTATTTAAAAACGTATATAAAATAAAAAGACATTCGTTCACAATTAACTCCTGAATATAAAATGGGTGAAGATGGCGGCCGTGATGAGGTGGCGTTAGCGTCTCATTAACGTTCCTGCGCTCAGTCGGAACCCGGGGTGGATCGGAGCTAGAACCTCGGAGGCTCCGACGATGAACTAACCTGGAAAAAGCTGCGGGCTGGAAGCAGACCTCCAGGACTCGACCTGGAACTGTTGGCGTCCGTCCAATCAGGACGAGGAGGAAACAAAGGAATAATTAGCTCGGCGGGCCGCCCTCCGAACGCGCCCGTTCCCCCTCAAACTTGACGGTTGTTGGACTTATTTTTGGTGTCACTTGATAAGCTCCCCTGCCTGCACCCAGACATCCCACTGACCCAGCCACTGGTCATTGTCTATACCGCTTCCCGTCAAAGCCGCCGCGCTTTGTCAGGTTTCGACTCGAATATCCATTCTGCGTCTGAGGTCCGGTATCTGAAGTGACTGGATCATTCGAGCCTTTTTCTTCAGCTGCTGCCCCCTTTCCTCCCCCCTCCCCGCACACACACATCATTTGGTGTCGGCGTCACGACGGCGCGCTTGAGAAGTCCACAATAAATATAAATATGAAACCCCGGCTTTATGGAATGCCGGGCTGGAGGGGGGGCGGGGGAATCATTTCTGGAAATGAACAATACTTATCCGTCCGTCGCATCCGTTGCTTTGGGTTTGCGTTTGGGACGTGGCGGGCCGTCAGCGGGGTGCGGAGCCCGCTTGTTGTTGGTGAGGAGCAGGAACGGGTCATTCAAAGTCAAAAGGCATAAAAAAGAGACAGCCAAGTCTTCACAGGCTGCTGCTCGCTGTTGCCTTTAATTATTTTAATTAAACTTTGATAGTGAGGCGCCGGGAGACGGGGCGAGGACCGAGGCGGAGCTCGGCTGGTTCTGTTCAGGTCCTAACTGACGGGCCGTGATGCGCCACGCCTTACTGAGCAGAGAGCGGGACAAAACACCACGCGCCGTGTCAAGGTCTGGAAGGCATCAATCCCTCAAACGTGGCTGGAGCTCGTCCGGGGCCGAATGCTGTCCTGCGGCCGGATAACGCTCTATTAATTCTCTGGTCCTCGGCTCGTAATGAAAGGAAGGTATGTTTAAAAAAAACACCAACCGAAGGGCAGAGTCTTGGTGCCGTCCAACACCTTGGGGCGTCCTGTCTCCAGTTTGTCATGCGTGTGCACTCCTCAGTGATAAAATGACAGGATGAGCGGGTCGGAGCGCGGCCGCCGGGCGCCGACTGATGAACTCAGAAGAGTCGTGATGAGACGTCGCTGAAAGCAAACGGACCCGCGAGGCCCGCCGGGAACATTCTGACTTCCAGGCCAAAGAAGCAGCTCGTCGCCCCGGTTCCTTCTATTTGTTGATGTTTTTTTAAGATAGCTTCCGTCTGTGTCCATAAATGAGTTTTTTCTCCGCAGACGGCACGATACGGTGAGAATACGTGAAGCGCTGGTGAGCAGCAACACACTGAGCGTGGAGTTCTGCGGCGCGCTCGGCGTCAGGGGAAAGGCGGTAAATACGTCCGGTTTAAAGATCTGCGAGCAGAGAGGGGAAACTTTGTGCACAGAGCGAGCACGCAGTGGTTTGTCGTCAGAAAGAGAAATAAAAAAGCCCTGAAGCGGGTCCCTGCGTCACCCCGGCGGCTTCACACGGCAGCTCTGCTCATCGGATGATGCGGCACACGGCTGAAGTTCAGACACCGGCCCTGAAAACACAAAAATCACCAAATTATTTCCTTTAACAGTTTATTCATAGTATTTATAGTTCTCTCTTGCAAATATTTTATTTACTTTATGCAAATTAGCTCCGTGTGCAGAGCCTCTGGTGAACTTTGTGCTTAATTTTCTCTAAGAAATAATATTTAAAATAAAAAGGAAACATAAAAATAACGCTGGTAAAACTTTCTAATAGAGGCCTCTTTATAAAGAATGTATAAAAAAGGTTATTAATTATTACTTCATTGAGAAATAATAATTTATGAAACACTATTTGGCAAGATAAGTGCTGTATTTTTATTTATTTCATAAATTAGAGATTTATTATTATCACACATCTGAGCATAAATCTTATTTAATTATTTTAGTTCAAAAATAAGCTGCCGCGTCTCATTTTGTTTTTGTGGATAGAACGGTTTTATTTTAATAAATTGATGTTTACAACATGTTGACAAACTCATTATTTTAGCAACAATAAATCCTTTAATAACGGAGCTTAGTTATGATTTAATACTCAAGTGTTTTGAAAAGCTAAATTAAAATCTTGTTTAGGATTTTAACCCGGAAAAGAGAAAACCACGACTCGAACAAACGCGAAAACAAAAAGGAATTAACTTTTGAACGTTTTTTTTAATTTTTTTATGAGAACTAAGAAACATTTTAATATTCAGGTGAACAGATTTATATGAAGCTGCTGCAGCAGAGCTTCACCTCCTTTGTCCAAAACTACCGGAGGTCCCGGTTAAATCCTGACTGTGCACAGCTCCAGTGTGTGTGTGTGTGTGTGTGACACCAACAGTGGGCCGACTGACACCAAGAGGGAGCTCTCACACAGCAAATTCCTCAGCAGCTACACACACACGCACGCACGCACGCACACACACGCACGCACGCACACACACACACACACACACTGATTTAAACGCCATAAAAACGTTTATTCCAGCTTTCTTGATGTTCTGTAGACCCCCCCCCCCCCCCCAAAAAAAAAAACCCTTCAAGATGAAATGAGTCACGAGCCACAAAAATGTGAATAAAAATAATAATGATAATTAAAAACAAACATTTTGTGATTTTTTTTTTTTAACCTAACGTAAACTATTTTTTCAGAAAGGACTAAGTTTACTATGTGGAGAAGGTGTTGTAAATTATTGTAGATCCAAAACATTAAAAGTCTAAAAACATTAACATTTTATTGATTTATTGCCAAAGGATTATATTAAACTTATTATTGCTCATTTGGAGATTCTGTTTTATCCATTTTGCTGCTAAACCTAAAAATAAAATAAAAGACGGTCATCATTTCACCATTCTTAAACTGCAGTTGTGGGCCGCACAAAATCACTCCAAGGGCCACAAATGGCCCCGGGGCCACACTTTGGACACCCCTGATTTATTGAAACGAAAAGTGTTTTTCCTCCCAACAGCTGGTGGTGGAGCACCGAAGCTTCTTCTTTCAGCTGCTCCTTTCTTCAGGGGTCACCAGAGACCATGAAGACCTTCCTGACACGACAACAGACCACCGAGCCACCGCAGCCCTCTGTGTGGAGCAGATGATGGGGGTTAAATGCCTTGCTCAAGGGCCCAGAGTGGGGCAAACGAGGGTGGAGGCAGGTGTGGGTGCTTCACCTTTCCCTCCCACATTTTTGATGTCAGTCCGACTGAACCAGTGACCTTCCAATCACAGACCCACCTTCTCCAACCTCTGCACCACCAACACTATTGTCTTTTTTATAGTATTTTAAACTAAAATACTTGATGTTATCTTTATATTTTAAATAAAATGCCACATTAAGGAGCCTGAACTGTCCTCTAACAGAACCGGGCCGAACATCGGTCCGTCTGCTTCATTTGGCTCATTCAGGTCTTTCCTTTTAAAGCCTTCACTGGCTTCGTGAAGGTGCGGTTCTTATCGAACAAAGACTCCTTCAGGTTTCTGGTTCTGGATCATCATGAACCCAGATGCTCTTCAGGCTGCCTGGTCAAAAAAAATAAAAAAATAAATGTTCCGGCTTTAGGTGTTTTTTTTTCCCCCAACCACAAATACAAAAAGCTGATAGTCATGGGACTACATGTGTCTGTGTGTTCTTTAACCAGTCTGTTAGCAAAATATCATAAACCACAGGATAGATTTGAATAAAACACCCTTGAACTTGGTCATAGTCACTATTATTGATTTCTAATGCTACGAGACTAGCCTTTAGCTACTGTTCACTTACTTCCAACTTACAGTTGGCTTTTTGGTGCTTTTAGTTAGAGTTACGCTCCATTTAACAAGTGTTGTAGTCGTTTTTTTTTTTTTTTTTTTGCTTTTTGAGCTTTTAGCTAGTTGTTCATTACTTTTACTTTATAGCTAACCTTTTGCTACATTTAGCTATAATTTTGCTAAATTTCGTTTTTAACTGGTGTTTTGCTGCTTTCAAGTTTTGTAATTATTTTATTTCAGCTGGCTTTTGCTATTTAAAGCTTTAAGCTAGCCTTTTTACTTTTAGCCAGACATTTAACACTTATTCTACATTTAGCTACAGTTTTTTCACTTTGTTTCATTAGCTTGGATTTTGCCACTTTTTTACTTAGAGGCCCTCCATTTGCAACTGGGTTCTGGACTTCCTAACCAACGGGCTGCAGTCTGTGAGGATCCACAACTTCTCCTCCACCATAATCCTTAGCACTGGCTCTCCTCAGGGATGTGTGCCGAGCCCCCTCCTGTTCACTCTGCTCACATATGACTGTGCACCTACCCATCCAGATTGTCACATTGTAAAGTTTGCAGATGATACAGAGGTGGTGGGATGCATCACAAACAATGAAGAGTCCAGCTACAGGCAGGAGGTGGAACACCTGGAGAGCTGGTGCAGGAAGAACAACCTTCACATCAATGTGAAGACGACAAAGGAGATGATTAGCTAGAGTTTTGTCACTTTGTGTTACTAGCTTGGGCTTTGCTACGTTCAGATTTTTGTTAACATTTTAGCTTTAAGTTGTTTTTAGCTTCGGTTAACTTTTGCTACTTTTATGTTTATAGCTAGCCTTTGGCTTCTTTTATTGTTCACCTCCTTTTAGATACCGTAGGTCGTTGTTTTTTGGCCACCTTTGGCTTTTAGCTCAGGTTTTGCTCATTTTAGCTACTGGCTAGCATTCTGCTTGATTTAGCTTTAACACCTTAGCTTCAGCATCTTCAGCCTATTCCAGTGAAGCTTCGGGGCTCAGCATTCAGAACAGCGATTTTACAGAAAAGGCTTTTTTTTACTGGTTGGATGAACATTTACAACTTATTAACAGAATTCAAGATGGCTGCCAAAACTAATCGACATTTACAAACACAAATGGATAAAACAGCTAAAATCTTAAGTGTGCTAGTAGCTGAAAGTCATTCTCCATCAACAGAGGTTTGAAGCTGAAAGGCCGTGGGCATTTTTTTCAAGGAAACCTACTTTTTATCTTAAGTGTTTGTTCAACTTAAATAGTTTTTTTTTGTTTTAAATTGATCAAACACAAACATTCGGCTGTGGCCGTCCTGTCAGAGTGAGATATTTAAAACTGACACAAATGTCTGTTCCTCCAGATTAATAAAGGAGTGCCTGTTGTTCCACATATTCAACTTTCTGCAGTTTGGTTCTGTGTGACCATCTGTGGGAGAATCACAGTCAAGGATAATTAAAAAAAGAGTAAACATAAATTGTAATTTCGGCTCTCGAGGTGACTTTAAAGTTTGCTCAGGCTCAGGGTTTGATTGAAAGCGCTCATTTGCTCATCTGATGTGTGCACCATTTGGGCCGCACACCTGCTTCCTTCTCTTTTCCGAAAACAAAAGCACATTCTTGCACGTATAATCCAAGCAGAGTCCATGTGGAAGCTTCTTATTGAGGCATTATGAAAAAAGATTGACCGCGACGTTGGACGCCCGAGTGTGGAAGTTCCAACCAGTTGCCAGAGCTCTAACAGTATCTGCTCCACAGTCTGGCTCGGGAGCAGAAGTGTGCACGGGCCGACTGCGACGAGGGTTTTAAACAAGCCGGAGAATCTTCCATTTCTTATTATTTGGCAAGGTTGGTGGGTGTTTGGTGGAGGGGTGGGGGCTCCGTCTCTGCATGGTAAGCCCCTTGACGCGTACCCTCTGCAGCTAATCTCACACAGTCAACAAATAAGGCACATCAGATGCTGTTTTGGCTGCGGCCATCAGAGCGGCTAAGTTCAGTGGATTTTACGGGTTTATCGGCGCAGGGTGGGAGGGGCAGAGCGGTAGGCGAGGCGGGGGTGTCTGTCACGGGGCGGTCAAGCAGGTGTACCACAATACGGTCAAACCCATTCCAGCTCCCCTGTTCCGGGGGATGAACGGGGACCCGGACTTGGCAGGGAGCTGTGCAATGGGTAGTAAGGGAGGCCCACCTGCGCCACCCAGAGCGGCGCCTGAATGTGTCGGCGAGGAACATCAAAGACGTCTCATCAGACGGACGGGTGGATGAGTCAGGTGGAGAGATAAGATGGGGAAAGAGTTGGAGGGGGTCAAAGGGACCCTTCACCTTCCAAATGAGGACTGTGATTAATAAGGTTCATTACAGACACTCCACTGGCTTCCTGTTGAAGTTAATGGAAATACATTAAGTGGCATGGTGGAATTAAAGTGATTACAACAGCAACTAATCTTAGTAAAGCAGAGAGATCCAACATGGCCGCTGAAAACAGGACGAGGAAGTAACTGCTCCAAATGGTTATCTTTGCTGCTAATCCATTTATTAACCTTTCAGTGTTTCACATTTAAATATTCCAAGAGTTTCATTAAAATCTATTCTGTGGTTCTTAAAATATTTTGCCAACAGACAGGGCTGACTTCAACAGTGGACGCCAAAGTTTTAAATGAAGACTTCACTTGGACAGTTAGCACTTGAAGGATATGTTGAGAGTGAATTTCTGCTACGACCACTCGTAGTTTTGGCGTCATATCTATAAATAACGAAAGGGTTACGGTCAACTCAATATTAGCTACAGT